TCTCAGAATAGGGTTTATCCTGCCAGATGGCTCAATGCATACATGCAGTCACAGAGGCATCAACTTTGCTTCATGCTGTGCAGTGTTACAGTAAGTACAGGCTGCAGAGTCTGTGGGTGCTGACACTGCAGTCGCTGTTCATTAGAATTGCTTCCAAAGACAGGTCCCTTTTTTTGCAGAGTTAAGATTTCTTACACAGGTCTGCATCTGTATCCAGTGCCTATTGAATGGTTGGACCCTTTGGCATGCATACAGTGAGCAGAGGCAGTTTCACATAGGATGAGAGATCTGGATTGCTGTGCTCTAAGAAAACATCAACAGTAAACCTTTATAATGAGTTTTTCTCCCATAGGACCCAGAGCACAGTCCATATATACTGTAGGCTAAATGTTAATAACAGTTGTTTTATATTTGAGCTCTCTGCTGAGGGAAGAATATACTTACTTGTCCTCATGTGTAATATGAACAGGCAATATTTTTTTAACCTGCATTTAAATACTTTAGGAATGATGCCTCCCTGATTGAGCCAGGAAGTGATTTCCAGAGAGCAGGAGATGCATGATAGATATTTCAGGCTCCAGAGAGGTGAAATCTGTACACAGTCAGTTTATTTGTGCATAATGATCAAAAAGGGAGAGTGTAAGGTTACAGCAGGTCTTTAAAATTCTAGCTGGGTCCTAAAGTGATTCTAAAGCTAAAACTTTTTTTTCTTTATCATATTTTGAGGGACACAGAATTGCAGAATACAATTGTGTGGGATTTACTGCTACCTACAGTTTTACTGCCAAAACAAAAAACGTTAAGCTAGCTCCCCCCTTATGACCTCGCCTCCACCCATTAAATCTGTCATGTTCTTTGCTAGTGTCCTATGATGTTAAATGCCAATTTCTTGATCTTGCCATACAGGAAACAAGCAATTCATATATGACTGGGTACTATGCAGGTATCATCAGGTGATTGGACACTGGACAGAGTGGTGAGGACCCTTATATAACCCCTCCCACTCCAGAAAATCCTAAAAATCCTTGCTAATGTCCTGAGGTAATTGATCTCTCCTCTCTACCGAAGGACATGTGTGATAGTTTTTTAGTTACCTTTTTTTTCTGTTCTTCAATCAAAAATTTTCCGACTGTCTGGCCACTCGGCAACCTCGCACCTTCTGGATGGTTGCCGCACGGCAGCAGCTTCGGGGACCGTACCCAGACACCACAGACTGAACATGTGGGACTGACCTGTAATGCCACTTCAGGAACTGGATCCTGCGTTAGTCCCCCCACCTTGGCACATGGCGCAAGTTGGGGTAGCCACAGGGTGCTCTGCAGGGCACTGGCATATCTGTTCTGGTGTGACCCTCATCCCTGAAGGTCCCCTCCTGTAGGAGGGGTTATGCTTGTCCTAATTGAGCAAAGCCTATGATCATTGGACATTCCCCCCTTCCTTGTTGGGTGTCTGATGCTACTGGTGGGTGAGTCTCTGCCCATACCAGGCCCTGGTCTCTGTGGATGCTGGCCCTGTAAAAAAAAAAAAAAAAGTGTTTATCCACACACACAAAATTTGTGTGTGAAACAGCTTCAGTTTGACTCCCCACCCCCACTGCAGACTCTGTTTTATGCATAATGTGGCTTTTCCTGCCCACATAGCCCAGGAATCCTGGCAGTGCGCAGGCACTGCCATGGACAGCTATGGGACAGGCTTGGGGGTCATGCCAACATTGCATGCTCAGTATGCCACCAGTGGCCATCATTGTACACCAGGCTGCCCTGTAAATGCATTTAGGCTGGTACAGCGGATTTTGGTAATCCAGCTACAGCAGCAGGGGAATCTGGAGCAGTAGCTGCCATCTTTGCCACATGGAGGGAGCACACTGACCTTGTCAGCATCTGATACCATGTGTAGCAATAAAATTGACTGCATTGCTAGGGACAATGGAGACCAGCAAGGAGGGCCCTCTTTAACCCTTTGGTGCCAGTATTGTAAGTACTCGTTGGGGCCCCTCACCATGTCAGACTTCAAAAGCAAAGCACCAGGGGGACAAGGGATAGCCAGAAATAGAACTGTTAAAGGGCGTGGCAGGGTACCTAAGGTTTTCTCCGGGTACTCTGCTACAAATTGTTAGCCCACCATTTAGCTTGTAGCTCTTTTTTAATGTGTCTGTCGCTCCATCAGGGGTATCCCATT